AGAACATCATTGAAATGAACATCGGGTTAGATCCAGGGATGTGCCTGTTACACAGTTCAGAGCTATCAGTTAGTAAATATAAGAAATTGGGTTTAGGGTACTATTTGAACGCAGCAAAAAGCCTGATCCCCAAGTATTGGAAGAAAAAAGAAATACCGAAAGAGGAGGAGTGGATAGAGAGAGTAAACTGGACTAGGGAGATGGAGAAGACATATTATATACAGGAAGATAAGCTGGAGGTATATCTCGCGAAAATGGGAAAAAAAAATGGGAAAATTTGTAATAAGCGTGAGAAAGTGAAAAGTAGAACGTCATAGAGAACAGTTGGGTAGGATATGCTTGCTTTGGATATAAGATAAAGAAAATGCAGAGTGGGGGGGGGGGGGGGGTCAAGGTTTTAAGAGGGGGGTAAATGAAGTAATAAGAAATAATTGTATATTTATGATGATCGAGATGAAAATGTCTTTTTTTATCTTTTTTCTATTGTTATTACTACGAAAACTCTTAATAAATATTTAAATAAAAAAAAAAAATAGAAATGAAAGGCACGTCATTTGTGTATAGATATTAAAAAAAAGGGAAACAATACACACTGCCATCAAGAAAACAGAGGAGTGAGAGACCTGTGTCTCTCGATGGACTCCCAAGATTTTAAAGGGATTGTAAACTCTCACCTTGTAAAACAACCCATTCAGTTTAAAATAGAAATGAAAGGCAATTCATTTGTGTATAGATATATATAAAAAAAAAAAGGAAAACGTTATATACACCAGTTTTCCCTTTTTTATAAGTGATCACATACCCTCAATTCTTAGCTGTGTAAGAGCTGGGGAAGGAGAAACAGCAGCTCACTAATCTCAGTGAAAAGCTGTGGGGGGGTCAGCAGAAGTCTGATCTCTGGAGAAGAGCAGGCTGAGTACCCTGCACAGCTACAGAACTGACCACTGTGTTCTCGCATGCCTAGTGTAGTCAGTTTTTAATAGGAAAGCAGAGGGACTGGCAGGAACACCAGGTAATTTACACAACGGAAGAAATAAAAAGACAGCAGGATATATTTTCATACAAGTACATGGTATATCAGGAATATTAAATGTTGGGTTTAACATATTCTTTAAGGTAAGTATACCTATCTTATTATCTTCATCGCCCCATTGAGATATATAGGAACTCAAACAACTGGGATGTCCAAAGGCAATCCAACTTTGGGGGTGGGCCACAGCCACTGCTAGATCAAGGTATTGGGAACTATTTATCTGAAACACTGATGTACCTGAAGGTTAAATGCCTGAATCTGAACCAGATGAAAGCTCTAAAAAAAACAGGGAAACTACCAAAACCAAGGGGAAAACCCGGAGGATCAACCTGGTGCCCCGGACCAAGAGAAAAATGCCAATACCAATGGGAATAACAATACATAAAGAACACCAAGTCAGCGCAAGGCTGAAGGAACCCAGTAGTGTTATCAGAACAGGTGGAACATAACCTGAAAAAATTGAACTAGACTTAAAACGAGGTGTGGTAAAAAAAAACAAAACACTGAGATAAGTCCCAGAATAACAGATCCCCAAAAGGAAATTTGGACAAACCAAAACAGGTCCAAAACAACAGACCAACTGGTCTATATAAGAAGGTCCAAGCCTCAAAATTCTAACCTTTCAAATCAGGGAAAGGAGTTTCCATAATAAGAGCAGAGGTTGCCATAGTTAGGCAAAAAAAATCTCTCACTATAAATATAACAAAATGTTAGAGCCCTCACAGCAAGGTATCCAATAGATAACCAAATAACCCTTGAAACTGGTAGAAAAACTCCCAAGAGTACCCCCTCAAGACCAGCTGACTGAAACAGGGTAAACAAAAGACACCAGACAAGTGCAGGTAGGGATGGGGGCATACTACATTTCAAGCTGGTACACATGACATCAAAAGCAGGAACTTACCCAATTAACCACTGTAGGTGCCACTAGGTCTGACAGAGGTACTCTGCAAACCTGCCTATCCTTCATCTAGAGTCATCAGCTTGTTCAGATCTAGTGAAACATCCTCAACTGAGAAGTGATCAGGCCCCAAAGAGGCCTGCAAAAGTACTTTATCTCCACCAGAGGATACTGGCCTCAGGATCCCTGGGTGTTCATCCTGTTGACATTCAGGGGAGCACAGGGCCATCCAGGAAGAGGCACTACCTGCCAATAAGGAGATGGGGAGTGTTCAAGTTCAGAATTTCTTTTGTTTGGAGATCACCAGTAAAGGAACACGTGTAGCGGGGGGGGGGGGGGGGGGGGGTTAATCATCCAGCATAGAAGCCAGATCTATTGACCTGTCACAGAGAAATTTCACGGAGGTGAAAATCCCAGCAACATGTAATAATGTCGAACAGAGGCCAGGCAAAAATGCTAGGCAACAGAAGGATACCCTGAGGAAGCAGTACAACCCTAAAAAACTGAACCGTAGTGCCTTAACTTCTTGGCCCAGAGAGACCAAATAGATATCTCGCTCCAAATTCAGGCTCTCACGTATAAAAGGGGAGTCAGAAAGGGACACAGTGAGCCACAGTTACCAATGTTATCCCCTGATAAGCTTGGTCAGGCTGAAACTTGATGTATTCGGAACCTCTAAAGGTTTTGCACTGCAAGAGTACATAAAAACTGATTCTCCTCAGTGGAGGTCACCTAAGCATAAGGGTGTCAGGATAAAGCGCTAAGATTGACATATCCTCCAGTGTTGTGGACACAAACAGAAGCATCTGGGGAACACTGCAAGAACAGGTCCTTCTTGGGAAAGGGACAGCAGAAATTGATTCCTGCTGATCTTTAAGGTCAAGGAGTCCCTTAGGGAAGGGACAATGCTGGGGGGGGTACCAAGCATAGAAGGGTTAACCAGAATCTGAGGATAATAACTCTCCTGAAGGGAACACTCCGAAACACAAGTTTCAGCTAAGGTGGAACAAGTGGTCCCAGGGTGTGAGGAACCTGGATAGGCCTGAGAGGAAACATTGCAGACTGCAGTAGCACAAGAACAATGGTAAAGGCAGCTGAAAGAGGTGTCCGACATAAGGGCTTAGCCTGTGAACTACAAGGGGTGATAAGAGCACTCATATGTTAGGAGGCAAACTACCCATCAGGATGTGCAAACAGCAGAAGGTTTATCAGATGTATTGACTGACCTCTTGCTTCAAGTCTAATGGCTTGAACAGGAGATAAGCTTAGAATGGCTATTAGGATGTACAAACAGACCCCACTTATAAAATTGGGAAAGCAACTTCATGCACAAGGCTTACCAGAAGGTTGGCTGACCTGCTTTTTGTCCCAAGGCTAATAATGCCTACACGTACTGACTGTTGAAATAGATGGAGTAGGGTGAGATTCCTCCACAGACCTCCTCAGTTGAGGAAGAAGAGCACTCCGGCCACCTGTAGCATTGCTATCAGTGTAAAGAACAGGTCTAAAGAGACAAGATCCTTTGAAGGATAACCAGATTAGATGCTCCTAGGATGCTTCATCAGCATCCCAAACATACAGCAAAAGTTCCTGACGCATTTGCAGACATCATACTAGACACAATTTAGATGCTTGTACACTAATGGAGGGGTCCTCTAAGGAATTTAACAAAATGTAACACAGTTTGGCAGAATATGCTTGCACCAACACAGAGCAGAGAGTTTCACCAGTTAATTCAAACTGGAATTTTAAGAGGACAACTCCTAAAAGACCACTGATTCATAACCTCCCTCTCAAAGGGAAACATTTCTGACACACTCTCAGGTGTTGGGGTGTTTCCATATTGCGTAAAGATCCAAGTGGCTAATTTATTGGTAAGGTCTTTGTAGCTGTTGCAGGCACTCTAAAACATCCAAGGCCTTAACCACCAGGCTGATCTTCCAGTTGCAGGATGGTTTGCATTTTATCCACAGCATTTAAAACAGCCCATGTAAAGTCCGCATCAGCTGCAGAACACTGTGGTAACCTGAAAAAAGTCTCACCAGAGATAGAACTTGAACTAATGCTGAAGATGTTTAGTGCAATATTCAGCAGGGGATGGCTCCAGAGTGCTGTATCCCTCAGCATCAGCTCATACAGCACTAAACCAGTGATGGGGAGATGCAAAAGAGAATTAGCTACAGGTGCATCACGCAGACTGGTCTTACTCACTAAGTGAGTTTTCAGAGACACGGTCACACCTGTGCCATGTCTTTAGACCAGAAATGTGCTCCAAAACTAGCACAGCACACAAAGATCTGAGACGGTCGATAATGCAGAGTCCAGTGCCCAAAAGTCAAATTCCAGGCTAGCTCCACACATCTATTCCAGTGGGGCACATAAGTATAATATATATATATAAGTATAGTAAGTATGGCCTTCAAAGCTAGTGCTGAGGAGCTGCCAATTCAAGTAGCTGCCATGTAGAGACCAGCTGAAACTGTAGGAACGAGTCATGTTGGAAGTCACTGAGAAAGAACACACCAACAACCCTTCAATAGACAATCAAGAATATATATATAATATATATATATATATATATATATATTAAACTTTGGAAAAAGTGGATTTACTAAATGAATACAGACTATTTAGCAAAGTAAGTAATCACTGATCTTAGTGAATAAGATGAAGCTGTGTGCAGTTTCATCACCCAATCACCTGCAAGCAAACTATTGTTTTTTTAATTATTCACATAAATGGATATTTTAAGTGAATACAGATTTACCTTCAAATTCTATTACTTTAGAAAATCAACCCTATTACCTACTTCATATTAAACCAAACAAGAATGTTAAACACTTTAAAGTGTATCTCCAGGCCTTGTTTTAGTTATAGATAAGGTGGGAAAGGGCAAAACACACAACTGCAGGGGAAAAAAAGCAATGAAAGTACACTATCCTATCAATTTGATTTTTGTACCAAAGGAAGAAAAAGTGTGTTTAGATAAGTACACATGATATCTACCTAAATCAGTACATATAAGTATAAGATGCCATATACAGTACCTATCAAATGAATTTTTACCTGATAGAAATGAGTGAGAATCCGAAGTTGAGAACGCATTTTTGGTATAGATTCTTGAAATTCTAAAACTCTTTTATTTTCTTCTTCCTCTTCAGCTTCTGTAACTCCCCACTTTCCCTAAAAAATAATAGCATCATAGTAAGTAACAAACAATATACTTTAATACTGCTCCAGGTGGGTCCACCCTTATCCACCCAATTATCAGGTCCACTCTCTGGTATATCCATAAAATCAATTGCAATACAGCAGAAGTGAGACCTATTAAAGTGCTTCACACTATAGAGTACATAATCACAGTGAAGAGCTTTATAGGTCTCACTTCTCCGGCTCTATTGCTTTGATTGTATGGATATACCACAACAAAGAAGTTGATTTTACTGTAGTGCAGTCATCCACAATATTTAATGTGAAAAGTAGGCCAGTAAATACAATTGTACAATGATTGGAAACAGGCATAACAGGAATTTTGTATTCGGGGATCAGAGATGAGATTATTCTCTGCGCAAACCTGATCACAATGTAATTATCTCCTGTTTTGCTGTTGCTGACCACACTGCTATGTTTTTCCAACATCCACTAGAATAAATAAATTAAATGTGTCACACAACTATCTTCCTTTGTCTGTTTTTCTTACTAAATAATAGTGCATCCACAACCATATATATACAGTGGGGATCAAAAGTTTGGGCACCCCAGCTAAAAATTTGTATTAATGTGCATAAAGAAGCCAAGGAAAGATGGAAAAATCTCCAAAAGGCATCAAATTACAGATTAGACATTCTTATAATATGTCAACAAAAGTTAGATTTTATTTCCATCATTTACACTTTCAAAATAACAGAAAACAAAAAAATGGCGTCTGCAAAAGTTTGGGCACCCTGCAGAATTTATAGCATGCACTGCCCCCTTTGCAAAGCTGAGACCTGCCAGTGTCATGGATTGTTCTCAATCATCATCTGGGAAGACCAGGTGATGTCAATCTCAAAGGTTTTAAATGCCCAGACTCATCTGACCTTGCCCCAACAATCAGCACCATGGGTTCTTCTAAGCAGTTGTCTAGAAAACTGAAACTGAAAATAGTTGACGCTCACAAAGCTGGAGAAGGCTATAAGAAGATAGCAAAGCGTTTTCAGATGTCAATATCCTCTGTTCGGAATGTAATTAAGAAATGGCAGTCATCAGGAACAGTGGAAGTTAAAGCAAGATCTGGAAGACCAAGAAAAATATCAGACAGAACAGCTCGCAGGATTGTGAGAAAAACAATTCAAAACCCACGTTTGACTGCACGATCCCTCCAGAAAGATCTGGCAGACACTGGAGTTGTGGTACACTATTCCACTATAAAGAGATACTTGTACAAATATGGTCTTCATGGAAGAGTCATCAGAAGAAAACCTCTTCTACGTCCTCACCACAAAAATCATCGTTTGAACTTTGCAAATGAACATATAGACAAGACTGATGCATTTTGGAAACAAGTTCTGAGGTTAAAATTTAACTTTTTGGCCAGAACGAGCAAAGGTACGTTTGGAGAAGAAGGGGCACAGAATTTAATGAAAAGAACCTCTGTCCAACTGTTAAGCATGGGGTTGGATCAGTCATGCTTTGGGGTTGTGTTGCAGCCAGTGGCACAGGGAACATCTCACGAGTAGAAGGAAAAATGGATTCAATAAAATTTTCAGCAAATTTTGGATGGTAACTTGATGCCATCTGTGAAAAAGCTGAAGTTAAAGAGAGGATGGCTTCTACAAATGGATAATGATCCTAAACACACCTCAAAATCCACGGGGGATTACATCAAGAGGCGTAAACTGAAGGTTTTGCCATGGCCTTCACAATCTCCTGACCTCAACATAATTGAAAATCTATGGATAGACCTTAAAAGAGCAGTGCGTGACAGACAGCCCAGAAATCTCAAAGAACTGGAAGACTTTTGTAAGGAAAAATGGGCAAAGATACCTCAAACAAGAATTGAAAGACTCTTGGCTGGCTACAAAAAGCGTTTACAAGCTGTGATACTTGCCAAAGGTGGCAGTACAAGATATTAACTCTGCAGGGTGCTCAAACGTTTGCAGACGCCATTTTTTTGTTTTCGGTTATTTTGAAACTGTAAATGATGGAAATAAAATCTAACTTTTGTTGACATATTATAAGAATGTCTAATCTGTAATGTGATGCCTTTTGGAGATTTTCCATCTTTCCTTGGCTTCTTTATGCACATTAATACAAAATTTTTAGCTGGGGTGCCCAAACTTTCGATCCCCACTGTATATATATAATTACCAATAACAAGCATAAAAAAAAGAAAAACCAAATATAATGTACTGTATATCCTCCACAGCATTTATCAAATTAGTCCATGAAATATAGTATACGCTTCTTATTGCATATACAATATATAAATGCATAATCTTGCACACTCTCCTCGTGTGAAATCAGATTAGCGTATGTTTTACATGACGATCACATCACAAATCGCAAACCTGATCACCCCCTTACCACATACCAGCATCCTGATCACTACCATATGTCATACCTGCATCATACATACACTATATTAGCAAAAGTATTGGGACACCCCTCCAAATCATTGGATTCAGGTGTTCCAATCACCTCCATGGCCACAGATGTATAAAATCAAGCACGGAGGCATGAAGATTGCTTCACAATCATTTATGAAAGAATGGGTCGCTCTCAGGAGCTCAGTGAATTCAAGGGTGGTACAGTGATAGGTTGCCACCTGTGCAATAAGTCCATCCCTGAAATTTCCTTGCTACTAAATATTCCATGGTTAGTGGTATTATAACAAAGTGGAAGCAACTGGGAAGAGAAGTTTAGTCATAAAGTGGTAGGCCACGTAAAATGACAGATCGGTGTCAGTGCACGCTGAAACGCACAGTGCGCAGAAGTCGCCAACTGTCTGCAGAGTCAATAGCTACAGACCTCCAAACTTCACGTACCCTTCAGATTAGCACAACAGTGCATAGAGAGCTTCATGGAATGGGTTTCCATGGCCGAGCAGCTGCATTCAAACCTTACATCAAGTGCAATGCAAAGCATCGGATGCAGTGGGGTAAAGCATGCCGCCACTGGGCTCTAGAGCAATGAGGATGTGTTCTCATACTACCAACTTTGTGGGAACAGTTTGGGGATGGCCCCTTCCTCTTTCAACATCACTGCACACCAGTGCACAAAGCAATGTCCATGAGGACATGGATGAGCAAGTTTGGGGTGGAGGTCCTTGACTGGCCTGCACAGAGTCCTGACCTCAACCCGATAAAACACCTTTGGGATGAATTAGAGCGGTGACTGCAAGCCAGGTCTTTTCGGCCAACATCAGTGCCTGACCTCACAACTGCATTTCTGGAAAAATGGTCAAACATTCCCATAGACACACTCCTAAACCTTGTGGACAGCCTTCCCAGAAGAGTTGAAGCTGTTATAGCTACAAAGGGTGGGCCAACTCAATATTGAACCCTACGGACTAAGACTGGGATGCCATTAAAGTTCATATGCGTTTAAAGGCAGGCGTCCCAATACTTTTGGTAATATAGTGTATATCCCATAGTTTGTAGACTCTATAGCTTTTACACAGACTAAATAATATACAGTATTTTGACTTATTTTTACCCCAAAAATGTAGCAGAATACATTTTGGCCTAAATGTATGAAGAAAAATTATTTGCTAAATTGTAGAAGAAAAATTATTTGCTAAATTGTAGAACAAAAGTTAAGCAAAAAATTATATAACCGAGTGGTAATCAAATATGATCAAAAGAAAGCTATGTCTAAAAAAAAAAAAAAAGGATAACATTTTCATATGGGCACAATGTTGCATTACTGAGTAATTGTCACTCAATGTGTGACAGTGCTAAAAGCTGAACATTGGCCTGGATTGGAAGGGGTTGAAAGTGACCAGACTTGAAGTGGTTAATACTCTAAAAATACAAGGATCTACCACTTGCAAAATCAAGAAACATGGGCTTCCTTTTACAATAGAAATACTTGAACAGCCGAACCCTCTCCTTAAACCATGACAAAACAGTTATATTACGCTTACTGGATGTCATACCTCTGATTCTCTCTCTTTTTTTCGTTCCTCAAATTGCAGTCTTCGTTGTAACTCTTCAAGAGAAGCCCTATACATTGCATCCTGGGCATTCTGAAACTCAATAATCTGGTCAAACACAGCACGAAGTTGATTTAGTAGAGCCTGGAGGAAAAGAATTGGATTATGAATATTGCTTCATCAAAACCAAAAAGTGATAGTCAATCAACCTGTACATGTGGGTAGGGTGATACAAAATAAATTAATAAAGCACTTAAATCATGTTAGCCAGCAAAGATAAACCTAATAACATTCTGTTTAACATTAGAAAAATTAATAATAGCGCCTATGGTCAAAATTGTATAACTTACTAATAGTGTACCAGCTGCAAAAAAACCACCATATATAAAGTGTACCAATTAATAAATAATTTGCGCTAGTAAATATATATAAATATATGTAAAGAAATCATCAAATCATAAGTCCAGAAAAATATATATATACCAATACCACAGAAAAATATAAAAAAACTTTTTAGGTGCAAAAAAAAACTTTTGTGCAAAAGGAGTGTCTTAATATAAAAAAAGTGTCTCAATATAAAAAAATTTCACCAAAAAACCTTGATAATATAATGGCAGATCATCCATAAAAATATCTTCAGAAACGGAAGCTCTCCAACACACCGATCCTCATCGATCGAAATAACAGGACGAAAAACTTTGTAGTTAATCGAAAATCCACTTCTCCAATAGAAAAAGGACCACCTTCAAACGTATCCATGGGGGGAAATGCCAAGCACTCGAGAGAAACAGAAAGACTTCATGGTGCAATATTATAAAAACCAATTCCTTTATTAGATACTCATTGCACTTACTCAAGAGGTGTCCCAGCCGACACCAGCATCAACAGCATCAACAGCAATCACATAAACGAGCCTGACTACTCAGCACATGTGCAATAGCTGGCAGTCAAAAAACGTAATGACATCACATCAATCAAGCTCCGCCCTACGCGTTTCGTCATCGACGTCCTCACGGAGCGGATAGATGTGAGACGTCTCACCCTCATTAAATATACACTCACAGGAAACGAACAGCTGACATCAATGGGGAATCAAGCAAAGCAAAGCAAGCCGCCCCAAGGATGACAGAAGTCCACAAAAAGTATACAATATATTTGATTAAAGAGAGAAATTCGATTGGTATTAAAGATAGGGAGATATTTCTTGGAAATAAAAAGGCTCATGTGGGATTTGAAAATAATGTACCCTTTATTACTAACTATAATATGCAATATAAAAATATTGAACGAATTTTTAAAAAATATTGGCCCATTTTGCTAAAAGATGATATACTAAATAAATTCTTATCTAAAACTCCTAAATTCATTTATAAGAAAAATAAGTCTCTTAGGATGAAATTGGCTCGCAATGTCATCGAACCCCCAAAAAAGTTCGATCTGTTTCCAAATTTAAATGGTTTTTTTCCTTGTAGGAAGTGTAAAGTATGTAGGACTGTAAAAGTCGGTAGTAATAAAAAAAAAAGTCATTCTGCTCTTCATTTTCCAAAAAAGAATATGATATTAAATCCCTGATTACATGTAATTCTACACATGTGATTTATGTTTTAGAATGTCCATGTCATTTGAGATATATTGGGAGAACTGGGAGATGTTTAAAAAACAAGAATAGGCGAACATATAAGAAACATAGTAAAAGGATTTGATAAACATAGTGTATCCAAACATTTTAAATTGGTACATAATTGTGATCCGAGCTTACTTACCTTTTATGGGATTGAGATGGTAAAACCCCATTGGAGGGGCTCGGATTTGGTTAATGAGATTTCCAAAAAAGAGACGTTTTGGATTTATGAACTAAATTCCTTGCAACCATTCGGGTTAAATGTCGATATAGATTTGAACTGTTTTCTCACAAATTTTTAAATTTTAATTTTTATGCTTTTTAAGTATATTTTCATATAGGCAACTGTTTAAAGATGATATATGGAAGATTGTGTGCTTTTTATACAATTTCTGCATTATTTTTGTATTATCACTAGAGTTCCCCTTTATTTGTGTTTAATGTGTTACTGGCCCTTTAAGTTCCCTTTTTGAAACACAGTCTTAGAGGGTATTGGCCCGTTAATGTATTTATTTATTTAATTTATTTACTATCATTGTTTTATTTAAATTTCTTTTTATTTTTGTTCCCTTGTTTTAAAGTTTTTTGCTTGTGATGGCAAATATATTGGATATATTGTATACTTTTTGTGGACTTCTGTCATCCTTGGGGCGGCTTGCTTTGCTTGATTCCCCATTGATGTCAGCTGTTCGTTTCCTGTGAGTGTATATTTAATGAGGGTGAGACGTCTCACATCTATCCGCTCCGTGAGGACGTCGATGACGAAACGCGTAGGGCGGAGCTTGATTGATGTGATGTCATTACGTTTTTGACTGCCAGCTATTGCACATGTGCTGAGTAGTCAGGCTCGTTTATGTGATTGCTGTTGATGCTGGTGTCGGCTGGGACACCTCTTGAGTAAGTGCAATGAGTATCTAATAAAGGAATTGGTTTTTTTAATATTGCACCATGAAGTCTTTCTGTTTCTCTCGAGTGCTTGGCATTTCCCCCATGGATACGTTTGAAGGTGGTCCTTTTTCTATTGGAGAAGTGGATTTTCGATTAACTACAAAGTTTTTCGTCCTGTTTAACATTATATAAAATGTTTTAACAAAGTGGAACTCCATCCAGGTTGTTTTCTGAGCTGCAATAAACCACATCACTATATGAGGATATTCTGCATGATGATGCTACTGCTGCATTAGCACACCTGAATGCCATGCATGAGGTTCATTCTTAAATTGGTAGTAAACTCTTTTTTTTTTTTATTTTACCTACAGGTAAGCTTATAATAAAGCTTACCTGTAGGTATAATTAATATCTCCTAAACGTGCACCGTTTAGGAGATATTCTCTCTTTTTTTTTAAGTTGGCGCATGCGCTCTGAAGGAACGGCATATGAGCATATAACCCCCAGCCCAGATGCAACACTGCCTCCTTACACTCCTACAACTAGTAAAAAGAGACAAGAAATTACCATTAAATTCAGTTGTTAATATATAGTCAAGTCACTGCTAACCCTTGGTGCTGGTGAGTGCCAGGAAGAGGACCCCTTGGGGGAGTGACATTGCCATCCTAGACTTCATTCACAAGAAGGTGTGTCCTGTCAGCAGAGGCCTGCTGGATTTTCTTTCCCTGCAAGGCAGGGAGTAAAATCCAGCCCTTTGCCAAGCAGAAACAGCACACAGTACACACGAAAACACTGGTTAGACACACAGTTAACCCTCTGATAGCACCTAAATGTTTAACCCCTTCATGAAGGGGGGTAAATCTTCCAGAGGGCAAGTGTGGCTATAGACTAGGTTAAATGAGAACTGACCTATTCACCACAAACTATATAAAGAACATGTGTACCTTCATTACAAAACATTTATATTTACTCACTAGGTATTCCTCTAGGCCCCTTTCAGGCAGACCTGATCGGACGGTCCATTTTTCCCCCTATGGACCAGCAGGTGTAAACAGACACAACAGACACACTTGTGTCCATTTACATCCGCCTACCTCTGGTCCGATCTGAAATAAAAAAAAAAAGGTAAGGAATCCTCCATCTAGGCAAGGCGAATTGAAGGGCAGTCAGGTGTAAACAGACAGCAAAGTTCATTTACACCAAGCCACCCATAGAGCAGAGCGGGCTCTGTCCGTGTCCATTCTGCATAAACTGAGCAGACACAGACCTGTCATCTGCCAGCTCTGCTCTGATGAGGGATCAACGGACAGATCACCTACTGATCAAAATGCACTCCGCTCCAAGGGAAAGGATGTCTTTTTTTAGCCATTTGCTCAGAATGTACTCTTAACTGAATGGAACTGTTTACAAACACTGAGCGACTGCCAACGCTTCATATGTTATTCACCATTACCCACAGTATTCTCTGGGAAGACTTTCTTTTATTTGGACTGACTTACCATGGTGCACCTCTTTGCTCCCTCCTCTCCACACAACTACATCCCTGTAACTTCCCAACCAATCAATACAGATTTTTGCCGTTGCTCTCCCATTTGCCCTCTCTCTTCTGTGCAAATACATCCTCTGCAGCAAACAGCATCTTAAATGCTGTAGCTCAAGCTAACAGTATGGCAGGGTAAAAGCTGCAGACAAGTCACAAGAACCCTTTGGTTTCTATGCAAATTTAGGAGACATGTCATAGAGATGGGGTGCTCCAGCCAACTCCGTGGCTGTATCTGCAGCACATCAGATAGCTCAGTGCAGTGAGAACAGCAACAGCTCTGGAGCAGTGAGAACAGCAACAACACTGTTTCTGGCACTGAGAGACGGATATAGAACATATATAACAGTAACAGCACTGGAGCAATGATAGCAGCACTCCATCTGACACTGAAAAACGGATACAAACCAGCTCCAAATGCTCAAAGCTATCCAATTTGTTGCTGTGGCCACAGGAACACACTGGGCTGGAGCGTGCCCATGAAATTTGCATGAGAACTGCAAGGGTCTTTAGTCCAGGAGTGGAGGTGAAATGAATCAAACTTAGTGCAAGTCACACTCGATTGCTGCATGTAGTGCTGGAGAGACATATGCTTGCAACACACTAGTAATATTTTGTTCACAATTTTACATTTTAAGAATACCAGTTCGATTTTCTGTTCATTAGTGGAATCAAATTGACATTTATTTTTGACAGCAGTGATAAAAAAAAGGAGCAGGAAGGAATGTTTTTCAAATCAAATGCCAAGAGCAAACCAAATGTACTGTACTTTCGAATGACATTCCTCACACTGTCAAATGTAGTGAGAATTTTCATACAAACATTCATATGAAAATGGAATGTATATTCAGTTTAATTGGGAAAGAAAACCTTATATTAACATGCAGGGGAAGGAATGCAAATAGCAGAAGGGCAAATAATCATTGTACTATGCCTCCAAGTTTATGTGCTGGTAAATTTTTATGTGAGTAAAAACTACACTTACACCTTAAATAAACTGTATTGCTTTTTTTCCTAAACAAATTTATAAAACATAAAGTAAACCTACTCTTGAGTCGCTATATCAAGTAGACAGCGACAAATGATTGTATCCAAAAACACCTCATGAGCTGCAATGATGTGATCCAAATCCTGTGCTTGCTGCACCTTGTTCCAAAGTTCATCCCATGAGCATTCCAGAACCTAAGGAAAACACAATCAGGGTAAACCACAATTCAAAAAGGGGTGAACGTTAATAGCCAAAGCAAAACATAAAACAAAAATGTACCTCAAATGTGATGTAATACTGCATCTGATGAATGAAATGGACCATTTCTGAAGCCAGGACGTGACACTGATGAAGCACCCCAGATAGCTCTGTAATGGAAATGAATAGTAAAATATATGAAAAATGAGAGTACCTTTATGATTTAAATCAGAAAGAAAATATGGGGGCTGCCATTGTTGACCTTCCTTTGAACGATAGCTACCTGGCTGGAGTTATTGATCCACAACAAGTATGAAGAAAAGAAAAATTGGGGACAGCCAGTAGCCTATATCTACATACTTGTTCTGGCTTAATGACTATAAGGATTAAAGTGGTTGTAAACCCTTACATATACCCAGTGAAGTGACTGGCCTCAGGTGATACACAGAGATGAAACAAATCCTATTACAAAAGTTGTACCCGTTTATCTACAGTCTTTCCCCTACATCCAAAGTGTAGAATTTACATAGGATTTCTCAGCTCTGAAAAGCAAGGGGTGGAGAGCTGAAGTTACATCAGTGAGGAGAGGTACATGTCCCCAGCACACAGGAACAGAGCTGAGGCTGTCAGTCACAGACTGGGCCCTCCCCTGTCACCTTTTCTCTTGATGTCAGGAAAACTCATCAGAATTGACTCATGCAGATAGCAGAGAAAGGAGGCAGTAGACAGAATTGACACTTAGTGCTCTGGATTGAGACAAGTACACGCTATAGAGGGATATGTTTTGTTCATGTTTCATGTTTACAACCACTTTAAAACAAGGTGAGCATGGCTGCCAGACAATGCTTGATTGGTGCTATTGTAATAAAAGAATTAGATCATAATTCTGAACAGCCCAAGTCTAATATCTCATTATCCTGTTTCCATTTCCTGAAGTAAATTCAGAGAACACACTTAAGGTCAATTAAAGTAAGTGCCCTCTATGCATATGCAGTGTTGTAATGCTGGTTTTGTCTAAATGTAATCTAATAGAAGAAAAAATGTATCTTCATTCACTATCCTGCAGGCTTCCTCCCTGATGGTTCCAGTAATGACTGCCTCAGGACTGAACTAAGGTAGGTAATATTCTCAGTCAGTTCCCCCTAGACAAAAAGAGCATTATCGACTGCATAATCTTGGGGGAAGAGGCGCTCACCTTTTAATATTTTTTTTTAATTAATTTTCTTTATTGAATACTAAAATGTCAATAAAACGACTACAAAATACAAATTGTACTTCTCACATTGCCTGCACAGCCAGGTATAGTAAAAGTTACAGGGGTAAAAAAAAAAAAAAGTGTTATAGAAAAGTAAACAAAATGTTCAAGTCTCAATGTAGTTTGTGGGCCTCATCTATGGTCAAGTTATCCATTAGGCCTAAGCTACATACTGTACGGTCTATGGGGATAATTGCAATGTCATAATTTATGTGTTAGTCACAGATCCACAATATCTATTCAATTTTGGGCAAGAATATGAAAGAGATCCTCGTGGTCTCTGTTACACCTGCTACATCTAGCTTTCCCATACTGAACAATTTCAGGGGAGTATAAGGGGCTCTTTACACAATGCATAATTGAGTCAACCTCTATGTCACAATAAGTGAACTTTCCGTGACCAAGTCTAGAATGCTTTTCCATTTGCTCTCACTCAACAGGTCCCAAATCTCTCTCCCATTTATCCACAACCAGCAAGTAGAGGCTTTAATGTATTCTTTATGTAGTACAGTATACCAACTCAATATGAATGCTTTAGGGGTCATGTTGTATTGATAAGATGTATAATTGGGCTTACACAGTATGTTTCATTTGGACATAATAAAATTACATGTTAATAAAAATTAAAAATAAATTAATTAATACAATTACATGTTCTGTAAGAAGGTTTACGTTTGCTTGAAGTCTCAGAAGGGTTAGAATACCAACTTCAGGAATTTGAAGAGAAAAAAAAAAATATTTACCCTTGCAGTGGCCCCTTCCCCCTTCCTGCTGGAGTGCAGAATAAGGAAAGTATTTCACCTTACTATGGCACCCCAACATAAAAAGTTCATGCCCTTGCAATGGGATGGGTGGCTTCACTGGAAGGCTACTTTTTTGTTGCTCTGCCTGAAGATGAGCTTTAAAGATGGCCGGTGAATCGGGCTGCGGGGGACACACCGTGGGATCGTGGGACAGGTGAGTGGCTGTTTTTTAAAAGTCAGCAGCTACAGTTTTTGTACCTGCTGACTTATTTTTTGACAGGGTGAGTGGAACTTCGCTTTAAGAATACCATTTTCAAATAACTGTAAGCTGTATGTATTTAGTACGCATTAGTGTATATGCGGAAAACAATTTATTGAACCTACAAGTCCAGTGTCGAGATATTGGGAACCTGTGTAGGTTAAATGGATAATGATAATGTACTATGTTTTTCTGCTTTAAAGTTTCTTACCTGTCTGTCCATTGTCCATGTGTAGCATGCATGAGAGTAATGTCATATTTGCATTGCCAGTGAAAAAAACTACTCAAAAGAGCCACAACTGGCACTTCATAGGGTATTTGCTAAAGCAGGCCAGTAAGTAATCTAATACCTCCACCCACCCTCCCTAACTCTTTTACATAATCAGTTTTATATATAAAGTTTACAATATGTGGATATATACAGTGCATTTATAAAAGTATTCAGACCCCTTTTCATTTTTTAATTTTGTCATGTTGCAACCTAATATTACAGTTGTTTAAATTCATTTTTGTTCTCATTAATCTACACTTAGCACCCCATAATGACAAAGTGAAAACAGAATTTTAGACATTTCTGTGAATTTATTAAAAAGAAAAAAACTATAGTATAACATGTACTTAAGTATTCAGACTCTTTACTCAGTACTTTGTTGAAGCACCTTGGCAGCAATTACAACCTCGGGTCTTTATGGGTATGACATGACAAGCTTTGCACACCTGGATTTGGGGATTTTCTGCTATTCTTCTTTGCAAATCCTATCACATTCAGTCAGGTTGGATGGGGACCTTCAGTGGACAGTCATTTTCAGGTCTCTCCAGAGATGTTCAATAGGGTTTAAAGTCAGAGCTCTGGCTGGGCCACTCTAGGACATTTTTGTGTTGTCTTGGCTATGTGCTTAGTATCGTTGTCATGTTGGAAGGTGAACCTTCGGCCCAGTCTGAGGTCCTAAGTGCTGTGGAACAGGTTTTCATTAAGGATATCTCTGTACTTTGCTCCATTCAGCTTTTCCTCAACCCTGACCAGTCTTCCAGTCCCTGCTGCTAAAAAAAACACCTCCACAGCATGATGCTGCCACCACCATGCTTAACTATTGGGATGGTATTGGCCAGGCGATGAGCAGTGCCTGGTTTCCTCTAGATATAACATTTAGAATTGAGGCCAATCTTGGTTTCAGCAGACCAGAGAATCTTGTTCCTCACAGTCTGAGAACCTTCAGGTGCTGTTTTGCAAACTCCAAGTGGGCTGTCATGTACTTTTCACTGAGGAGAGGCTTTCATCTAGCCACTCTGCCATAAAGATCAGCGGAGGGCTGCAATGATGGTTGTCCTCCTGGAACTTTCTCCCATCTCTACACAGGATCTCTGGAACTCAGTCAGAGTGACCATCGGCTTTTGGTCACCTCTCTTAATAAGGCCCTTCTCCCCGGATTAGTCAGTTTGGCAGGGCGACCACTCATGGAAGAGTCCTAGCTGTGCCAAACTTCTTCCATATGAGAATTATGGAGGCCACTGTGCTCTTGGGAACATTTAGTGCAGCAGAATTATTTTGCAGCTTTCCCCAGATCTGTGCCTTGCAATAATCCTGTCTCAGAGCTCTGCAGGTAGTTCCTTTGACCTCATGGCTTTTGCTCTTATACAGTATGCACTGTCAGCTGTGAGGCCTTTTATACAGAGAGGTGTGTGCCTTTACAAATCATTTCTAATCAGTTTAATTTACCATTGGACACCAATCAATGTGGACAAACATGCAGCAATGATCAAGAGAAATAGGAGGCACCTGTGATATTTCAGTTTTTCCTTTTTCATACATTTGTAAACAATTCTGTTTTCACTCATTATCGGGTAGGGAGTGTAGATTAATTGAAAAAAATACATTTAAACAGCTGTAGCATCAGCCTGCAACATAACAAAATTGAAAAAAAAATTTAAAGCGGTGTGAATACTTTATGATTGCACTATATATATGCATGCTACAATCACCCAATGTATTATGTAATACACCATACAGATGTCATTGGCTACCTGGTCAGAAGGGAAAGGCTATCACTTCCATTTGTATGTACAGTATCTGAATAATGTGACAGATCAAATGTATAAAGAAATTAAAGACTTTGAGGGGAGCCAACGTTAAAGATCAGTTTGTCTGTTGGAGCAAAATGTTACATTCTTTAAAGTAGGGGTATAGAAACTGAACTAAATGCTCTGTAGGTGTATAGAATGTGACCTGAAATATTATTCCCATGTTTAGCTAGGCCTCCACAGTATTTTGCATGAACCAAAGGTCAGCTCTAGTGACACAAAAAAGAGAGGAAGGCGCCTCTAAGTATTGACAATTTATTTAGTAAACAATGGATAAATTGCACTTACAAGATAAATAGTTAAAAAGAATCGTGTGGTAATTAGATCCAGGTGGGACATCCAGCTGCAAACTCTGTCTATAAGATCAGGAAGTAGAATCCAGGATGTGCCCGTGCATCAAAATGAAGCTAGGAGAGCAGAGTGGGATGTAGGAGGTGAAGGGGGCAGTAATGCATTTCGGAGCATGCTCAATAGGCTCCTTCAGACCTCAGGTAATGCATTTCAGAGCATGCTCAATAAGCTCCTTCTTCAGACCTCAGGTCATGTTTTGAAATGCATTACCGCCCCTTCACCTCCTACATCCGACTCTGCTCTCCTAACTTCATTTTGATGCAAAGGCACATCCTGGACTCTACTTCCTGATCTTATAGACAGAGTTTGCTGCTGGACAGCTGGATGTCCCACCTGGAGTGCAATTTATCCATTGTTTACTAAATAAATTATCAATACTGCACTTAGAGGCGCCTTCCTCTCTTTTTCTTGTTACTGCATTGGAGCCTTGCTTCCACTCTAAGAAGAGCTGCCTCAGTGTTACTGCTCCTAGCCATCCATCTATCCATCCCTGATATCCATCTGGCACCTTTATCCTACAGCTACAGAAGTTGGGCTCCAACAAGCGCGCCCTATATAATATACATTTTCTAGCCCTAGTGACGCAGTGTACTGACTGGTCTGCTCTACTAGAAGTTGGCCAAAGACCATACAGTGGGGATCGAAAGTTTGGGCACCCCAGCTAAAAATTTGTATTAATGTGCATAAAGAAGCCAAGGAAAGATGGAAAAATCTCCAAAAGGCATCAAATTACAGATTAGACATTCTTATAATATGTCAACAAAAGTTAGATTTTATTTCCATCATTTACACTTTCAAAATAACAGAAAACAAAAAAATGGCGTCTGCAAAAGTTTGGGCACCCTGCAGAATTTATAGCATGCACTGCCCCCTTTGCAAAGCTGAGACCTGCCAGTGTCATGGATTGTTCTCAATCATCATCTGGGCAGACCAGGTGATGTCAATCTCAAAGGTTTTAAATGCCCAGACTCATCTGACCTTGCCCCAACAATCAGCACCATGGGTTCTTCTAAGCAGTTGTCTAGAAAACTGAAACTGAAAATAGTTGACGCTCACAAAGCTGGAGAAGGCTATAAGAAGATAGCAAAGCGTTTTCAGATGTCAATATCCTCTGTTCGGAATGTAATTAAGAAATGGCAGTCATCAGGAACAGTGGAAGTTAAAGCAAGATCTGGAAGACCAAGAAAAATATCAGACAGAACAGCTCGCAAGATTGTGAGAAAAACAATTCAAAACCCACGTTTGACTGCACGATCCCTCCAGAAAGATCTGGCAGACACTGGAGTTGTGGTACACTATTCCACTATAAAGAGATACTTGTACAAATATGGTCTTCATGGAAGAGTCATCAGAAGAAAACCTCTTCTACATCCTCACCACAAAAATCATCGTTTGAACTTTGCAAATGAACATATAGACAAGACTGATGCATTTTGGAAACAAGTTCTGTGGACCGATGAGGTTAAAATTGAACTTGTTGGCCGGAATGAGCAAAGGTACGTTTGGAGAAGAAGGGGCACAGAATTTAATGAAAAGAACCTCTGTCCAACTGTTAAGCATGGGGTTGGATCAATCATGCTTTGGGGTTGTGTTGCAGCCAGTGGCACAGGGAACATCTCACGAGTAGAAGGAAAAATGGATTCAATAAAATTTCAGCAAATTTTGGATGGTAACTTGATGCCATCTGAGAAAAAGCTGAAGTTAAAGAGAGGATGGCTTCTACAAATGGATAATGATCCTAAACACACCTCGAAATCCACGGGGGATTACATCAAGAGGCGTAAACTGAAGGTTTTGCCATGGCCTTCACAATCTCCTGACCTCAACATAATTGAAAATCTATGGATAGACCTTAAAAGAGCAGTGCGTGACAGACAGCCCAGAAATCTCAAAGAACTGGAAGACTTTTGTAAGGAAGAATGGGCAAAGATACCTCAAACAAGAATTGAAAGACTCTTGGCTGGCTACAAAAAGCATTTACAAGCTGTGATACTTGCCAAAGGGGGCAGTACAAGATATTAACTCTGCAGGGTGCCCAAACTTTTGCAGACGCCATTTTTTTGTTTTCTGTTATTTTGAAAGTGTAAATGATCGAAATAAAATCTAACTTTTGTTGACATATTATAAGAATGTCTAATCTGTAATTTGATGCCTTTTGGAGATTTTTCCATCTTTCCTTGGCTTCTTTATGCACATTAATACAAATTTTTAGCTGGGGTGCCCAAACTTTCGATCCCCACTGTAGTTTATGGATGTCAAATACTGATTTGCAGTGTAGTTGCCCTCTCATTTGGAGATCAAAGTGTTATTTAGTTAAATCTAATGATTTTTATGACTGCTCATTTTAAAACAAGTCTGTTTTTTGTTTTTTTTTTGTTTTTTTTTTCTAATTAGACTGGAGACAATCTTAAACAAATCTGAAACCTTACAGAATGTATTAAGAACAGGTTTATGCTAGCAAAAACTGTTCATGACTATGATTTTCTAATGACACTTAATTAAAGCACTTTGCAGGATTTTGCCTTAATTAAGCACTTGTAGGATTTGCCTGGATAATTCAAAGATTTATTGGATTCAGCTGCACTCAAAATAAAATGAAAAAAGAATTGTAATCTCTTTTCAGTATATGCCCACGTCAATTTCTTGCCACATCCTCCACAAAATAAATTATTACATATGCAGGGATATTTTTCAAAGTCTCTTGCATCCAATTCCATGTATCAATAGTGCTTTGCTTAAACACCAAAAAATATATACTCCTCCACCACATCATGTCTTTCTCATGCCTACAGGTTTTTTGAAACAGCTATAATGTGCCTTTACTAAACTTTAATTTGAGGTTCAATAAATAATGCATTACTATTTTACTTCAGACTACTGAAAAAGTACTGTACCATTTGTCTGGCTGTATACTATAGACTGCATTCAACAAGCAAACTGAAACCTAGCAAACGACTTGAACAAAAGTTAAATTAAAATATTAGGGTGGACATCTACAGGTTCACTAATTTATAAAAATAAACCACCAAACAGTTCACCTGGCATGCTTTTCAGTAATTTTGCATTGCACATATGTCCTTTCCAAATGTCTGTTAGAATGTATTCCATCCTCTTTGCACGCCAAAGAAAGTTGAACACTCTCAGATAATGGCTCATACACTCTCTGGTAAAGACCTACAAAAATAAAAAGCAGATGTTTATTTATAATGGGAAAACCAATGACTTTGGAATCATTCAGCTTTTAATGTGGAATAATGCTTTATCTGGCCCTTGGGGCACTATTTAATCCACTGACACCAACTATTTCCTCCCAATGATACCAATGATGGGGCACAATTCCCACCAATGACACCAATGATGTGGCACAGTTCATCCTAATGATACCAAGAATGGGGCCCAATGACACCAATGATTGGGCACAATTTCTCCCAATGACACTATCGATTCCTTCACTAACACCAAAGATGGAGCATTGTTTACTCCAAGTGATGCCAGGTCATTTTCTAGTCCAGCCCCCAATACATTCTGTAGGACAGTAAACTGGCCCTTTGCTTAGAAAGTTTGGAGACCCCTGCTTTAAACCATTTATTCAATTTACTGGCTTCCCATATAGCCTTGGTGGCTCTACTGTATAAAAAAGCATGGGCTAGGCAAATGTATTTTATTTCTATCAAAATAGTTAGGTCTATAATGTACAGCCACACCCAGCATTATACAGTACATACTATTGGGTATCACTGCTAGCTTAGTTTAATGTACAGTATCTGATGCTCCAACATGATAAAAAAAAAACCCCATGTGTTCCTGACTGAAAAAATCTGCAAACTACTGCAGATTAATTTACAGAAATGTGAAAAAAAGCCTTATAGTGGTACTCCGTATTCTCTTTTCTGTAGGCACAAAAATAAACTATTTAGGCTTTTTTGTATGAGTGACCAAAGGTTCCATTCCTGCTCAACTGCCAGTTTTCTAAATTCAAGTCATTGTGCAGCTCAAAATGATTGTGCTGCATGTGTCTGGAGCACGTAGCCATTCAATGGCCCATCACAAAAGCAAGTGCGGCACAGTCCAATGGAGCATGAAACAATAGTGCCCATGCAGGGCAAAGTATCAGGTTTCATCTAAAGTAGTTGGAAACATTTTTTTTTTACCTTAATGCTTTCCCTGCCTTAAGTTAAAAAAAAAACCCAAAAAAAAAACACTTTTTCAGCAGGTGTTTTGCCCTAACCCCCCCCCCCCCCCCCATACCTATTGAGCCTGCAGCTGCACCATAATAGGAAGTGGCTTCCTATGATGGCACACCATGAACATGAGGAACCAGAAGCGCCGGTGGGGGATCCAAGGAGGAGGAGGATCAACCCAAGGAGTACACACTTTTCATTGACTCCCCTGCTGCTCTGTTTAACAACCAGAAGTGAAGAAAATATCCAGCACCTCTGGGTATGGAGAAGCCAGTACTTAGAAACTAGCCAAACACCATGACTTGGAAGTGAGAATGCTCATGAAGAAGGCATTAACATGAACCTGTAGTTTTGACCTGCATGGGCACAGCAGAGAAACACACAGGTCATCACTGCCTCTCTTCTACACTGAAGCCGGCGATGGGACCTGATCATGTGACTGGACTGGAGCACCCTCAGAACAGGTAAGTATAGACGTCTTTTCTTTTACATAACAGATAGAATGACTTAGAATGAGAGCGGTAGTAGATTTAGGCTTAGTTAGAATTTGACTGGAATTCCACTTTAACAGTTCTTGAAGAAGATCTAAAGATTGGTCCAGACGATTCTGGATGCCCCATAATTTTTACGCAAATCTTTATCAAAGCAAATTTTTTTTTTATAGAAGAATAAATTATTTGCATATGAGTAGTTAGAAAGTTCACAATAAGCTATAAAAAAAAGCATAATAAATAATGCATTTGAAATTGTGATTTTTTTTGCAAGATAATCTTACTTACGCAGATCTATAGATACAGTGCCTTGAAACAGTATTCATACCCCTTGAAATTTTCCACATTTTGTCATGTTACAATCAAAAATGTAAATGTATTTTATTAGGAGATAATGTGATGCACCAACACAAATTGGCACATCATTGTGAAGTGGAAGGAAAATTATAAATGGTTTTCAACATTTGTTGCAAATAAATCTGTGAAAAGTGTGGCGTGCATTTGTATTCAGCCCCCTGTAGAACCACTTTTTGCTGCAAGTCTTTTTGGGGATGTCTCTACCAGCTTTGCACATCTAGAGAGTGACTTTTTTGCCCATACGTCTTTGGTAAATAGCTCAATCTCTGTCAAATTGGATGGAGAGTGTCTGTGAACAGCAATTTTCAAGTCTTGCCACAGATTCTCAATTGGATTTAGGTCTAGACTTTGACTGGGCCATTCTAACACATGAATATGGTTTGATCAAAACATTCAATTGTAGCTCTGGCTGTATGTTTAAGGTCGTTGTCCTGCTGGAAGGTGAACCTCCACCCCAGTCTCAAGTCTTTTGCGGACTCTAACAGGTTTTCTTCTAAGATTGCCCTGTATTTGGCTCCATACATCTTCCTATCAACTCTGATCAAATTCCCTGTCCCTGCTGAAGAAAAGCATTCCCATAACATGATGCTGCCACCACGTTTCACAGTGGGGATGGTGTGTTCAGGGTGATGTGCAGTGTTAGTTTTCCGCCACACATTGTGTTTTGCTTTTAGGCCAAAAAGTTCCATTTTGGTTTCATCTGACCAGAGCACATTCTTCCACATGATTGCTGTGTCCCCCACATGGCTTCTCGCCAACTGCAAACGGGACTTCTCATGGCTTTTAACAATGGCTTTCTTCTTGAAACTCTTCCATAAAGACCAGATTTGTGGAGTGGTAAGATTGCAGTTGTGCCATACACTTTCCATTTTCGGATGATGGATTGAACAGTGCTCTGTGAGATGTTCAAAGCTTGGGATATTTTTTATAACCTAACCCTGCTTTAAGCCTCTCCACAACTTTATGCCTGACCTATCTGGTGTGTTTCCTTGGCCTTCATATGCTGTTTGTTCACGAATGTTCTCTAACAAACCTCTGAGGGCTTCACAGAACAGCTGAATTTATACTGAGATTAGATTACACACAGGTGGACTCTATTTACTAATTAGGTGACTTCTGAAGGCAATTGGTTCCACTAGGTTTTAGTTAGGGGTATCCGAGTAAAGGGGGCTGAATACAAATGCACGCCACACTTTTCACATATTTGTCAAAAATTTTGAAAACCATTTATCATTTTCCTTCCATTTCACAATTATGTGCCACATTGTGTTGGTCTATCACATGGGTCTCCAAACTATGGCCCTTCAGATGTTGAGGAACTGCAAGTCCCATGAGACCTTGCAAGACTCTGACAGCCACAGGCAAGACTCCCAGAGGCAGAAGCATGATGGGACTTGTATTATTTCAACAGCTGGAGGGCAATAGTTTTGAGACCCCTCCAAATAATCCCAATAAAATACATTTACATTTTTGGTTGTAACATGACAAAATGTAGAAAATTTCAAGGGGGATGAATACTTTTTCAAGGCGCTGTACATTGTAAATGGCTTGCACTAACATTTTACCTGCAGTTGTAATCAGCTTATCCATCCGCCAATGGCTCATCAAAGTGGAGTAATTGAACTAGATGGAAGATGTTCTGACCTCACAACATAAACGGGAGATCTACTCCAAGACATGGGGTCTGTGGAATATGTTCATCTATTCTGAGGAAGGTGAGGCTCTTTTTGCATGACAGTAATAAGTATCAGCCCCTGGATTGTTCTAGGCTCTACCCCTATCGCCCCCTTCCTGTTCCCCCACTCGATCCCTTTTTTTTTCCCTCTTTCCTTCTCCTTCTTCCCCTCCTCTCTGGGCCTCTTTAGTCTGTCTTCTCTCTTGCTGTTTGATTTTATTTTAAAAAACATTTGAGTGGGATAGTTCCATTTCCCCCCTTCCCCACCTCGTGGGAATCACAGTTCAAGTTTCTGGGATACAGGGTTATGTCAAATTTGGTTGAGCGTGCTGATGTTTTTCATTTTCTATTGTCCTATATTACCCTTTATTATCTCAAGCTGTTCAACTGAATCTTGCCTATGTACCAAGATGCTTACATACTGTTACGGATGCTACCTTATATCAATAAACTTTCATTTTAAAAAAAAAAAAAAAATGGTGGTGTGTGGATGATATGCTCCCTCCAGGACAAAAAAGATTTGGCCCACTACAATGCAGTCTTACCTATAGTCGAAAAGGTGATGCAGAATAAAATATATATTTTTTTTTTAAAAAATGGAAGACTGGACAGGTCTCATCCAGCACCAAGCTTCCAATAAGGAACAGTCTGTTAATGCAGTAGGTACTGTAACTTGAACAATTTATTGCTTAGTATTTGACATACTTGGTTCAATTAAAATATTTTGTTATTCAGATTGCAATCTGCCATTATGAGACATATTGCTGAGGCTATTGTTTATATTTGAACTTGCCTGATCTTGATCTTCAACAAAACTTTATTGTAAAAGAAAAAGTATTAGGTAATCTGTTACCTTTTTCTTGCTCTCTCCTCTGCTCAAACCTACTTCCGAAGTTTTTAACTCACATTTTGCTCAATGTTAATCTGCTTCTCCTCTTTATCTACCTCTTGTTAATTCCATACCACTGGTTTTCCATGGTCATTTAAAGCCAAAACAAGGTTGGTGAAAATAAGAATTTTGACTTGGCTTTAAAATCTCTTTGTTGGCATACAGCACAGGGCACAGATTCCTTTAAATCTTGACCATGGGTTATATGCTGTCACCTTCAGGACATTGGAAAACAAGATTAATGGGACAGCCAACATAACCCCTCTTGCTCCTAGCAATCCTCAGTTTTTAGCAAGCAATCAGAAAAAAACATCTGGACAGAGCAGAGAGTGGCCCATGTCCTTTCTTACTTCTTACAGTACAGGGCACAGGCACCTTTAAATCTTGACCATAGGACGTTCAGTGGACGACACAGAAAGCAAAGCTAACAGGCAACAAGGAAACCAGGTTCCCAACTATAAGAGCAGCACAGTGGCTAAGTGTTTAGCTTTTCTGCCTAGCAGCACTAGGGTCATTGGCTCATGGGCTCAAGTTTATTTGAAATTTTTTTGCTTTGTGTTACGGATTTTTTTTTTCTGTTT